TGAGCGGGCGCCGGGCCCCGCCGCCAGCTGCGGGCCGCCGCGACCGGAAGGGGCGGAGCATCCTGCAAGGCGCCAGCTTCCGCTCGCGGTTCCGGTCCTTCCTGATGTGGCAGGAGAACCGGGATTTTTTTCGGTGTCGGAGGCCGGGTGGATTCTTAGCTAGATCAGTCGTTCTGTCCCTCGGAGTTCCCTTTCCCACGAGAAGCGGCTGAACTGAATAGGCAGACAGGTGAATCAGTAGGAACAACCGCACTGTTGCGGGGGAAACCAAGAGGAAAACAAGAACAGTTGGTTGAGATCTGCAGAGAAGGCCTCTGAAGAGGTGACCTTGGAACCAAGACGTGAGGGCTGGAAAGAGCAGAGACTAGGATGCAGTGACCCACCGAGAGGAGGGCATGTGGGAAGGCTAGGGCTCTATAGGGAAATGAAAAGTGATAAATGGAGAGTTGAGCCGGTTATGGAAAAGCATTTAGATTATATTCTAGCCACAGAGAAAGCCTTTAAGCATAGCCCTGTTACCCTGATCCCAGCCATTAGGATAAAATCTTAACAGAGAAGAGTCTAAAAACTGAGCCTGAATGAACACAAACTTTTGAAAGTTGGAGACAACAGTGATAGCATTTTCATGGAGTTTTTATAGTAACAGAACAAAGTTATGAATCAAGGCTTTTTTTTTTTCAGATAAGTTAGTGGAAATGATTTATAACAAAGCTAGTAATCTCTACTATTGGCCTCAGATGCTATATGATGGCACTCTTAGCCTTTGGGTTTGGAAACTAGGGTTCTGTTTGTATATTACAAAAGGACCTACCTAATAGTCACAAGAATGTTAGGTCACACACAGGTGGGCAATAAATGTCTGTTTAGGGGCTAAGATAGTCTGAGTTTGGCTCTGGACCTGCAGCATTCCAGCTCTCCAAAATCACTGAAGTTGTGCTCAGTTAGCCTTGTAGAATGTTTAACACAGAAATGCCTCTTTTCCTTCAAACTTCTGTTGACAGGTAGGAAAAGCTGGAGAATGTGGTGTTCCCAAAAAGCTCATTTGGGGTCTGAGACCATGGATTTCAATTAACTGAAGATGTTTAATTGTTCCAGTGTAGGCAGAGAAAGCAGATGGCTATGTTCTTTCAGGGTTGAGGTTTCAAGGTAAGTACAACAGAGAGGGTCAGGTCTAGAGAGTTGAGGGTATTTATGATAATGTTTAATCAAAACCATACAGGAAAGCAAATAATGGCATTTGTGGGATGGTAATGGGAGGTGGCAGGGAAAGGAACCAGGATATTTGAGCACTGACTAGGAAGCGGATACAGTGGCAGGTATTTGATCAAGTGAGCTAGCAGCACAGATGCTGGTGGTCTGTACAGGATGTTGGGAAATGAAATTTCAGAGAGTGTGAGTTTGTGTGATGCCCATCCAAGGTGTGACTGTGTGTAAGACTAGAAGGCTAAGGAAGAGTGCATGTCCCTGTTTTTAGAACTGAGTGAGACTGAGAAAGAAAGGAAGCGTTTGAGACAGTGACCAGAGGTTTAAATGATAGCTAACAGACAACGAAGGTGGTAATTAGCCCTCTGATAACCCTCACTTTCTCTTCCTTCTGGTATTCTTTTCTTCCTTCACCCTAAATTCCCTGGCTGCCTCCACATCTCCTGCTGTCCTTTCCTCCCTGGTCTGTTTTCTGTGTTTTGTTTTTCCTCACTTATTCCCTTCCATCTCCTTCTATTCCCATTTGTAACTTTCTTACATTCTCCCTGTCAACTTCTCTTTTCCCTTCATTTCACCTTCTTATCTCTTTGCCTTTTTGTGGGGAGGAAGGGAAACAGGATATGACCTTTATTGAGCTTATCCCCAGAATGGAAATAATGTCTGTAAAAACCCAAATGTTTGTTACTATAACTTCTTCATTACAATTAAAATTCAAA